TCTGTGTGTGTGTGTGTGTGTGTGTGTGTGTGTCTGTGGGGAAGGGGGGGCGTGTGTGTACAAGGTTGTCGTAGGGAGCTAAGTCTGTGAATGTTACCTGTTTTCTGGAAAGAAAGGAGGGTAAGGCCAGACAAGTCCACCCATGGGATTTGAGCTGTCAAGTGGTTGAGAGCCCCAAACAGGTGTGCACAGTTCAGCCAACGTCTTTGGAGCCTACATAAGGCCATGTGTCTATCACTCACACAAAAAAAACATACTAAACATGCTATAATACGAATGGCAAGGATGATGTATTAAGCAGCTTCAGTGGCAAAATCTTGCGTTGTTACTGTTCTATAAATAGCATATGTTAACTGTCTAACAGACACATTGAACTAGCAGGGCATGACACTCCTAGTGCAAGATACTGGTGCATCATACCTGCCTCAAGGATTTTTGGTGGGTGTTTGATCGATCCATAATAGAGCAGAATCGCACAGTGTACCCTGGCCTTTAACTTTCGTATCGTTAATCCATTGCTTTCTTGGTGACGATTGCCTTCGTTTTGGGTTTATTCCAGAGGTTCACGCGGCTGCAGTGCCAAGGAGTGTATCATGTACATGTGTGTAAAAATAGAAATCGTAAATTCAATCCAAGGGAAATCGGGCTTAGGACTCAGGTCTGCAAGCTATGAGGTCATTACATGACAAAATCACATGAAGTTATCATTCACGAGGAAGATGAACACAAAGCTTGAATTCAGGATTACAATCCGATTACTCTCCATAACCAGGCACCGATGCAGCTAATTCCCGAGCAAAATAAAAGTCATACCTAATTGGTACTATGTTTGTGGTTGGAAAGCATGCCATTAGGGTCAGGTCTCATTGGTGCTATGTGTGTGGTTGGAAAGCATGGCCCACCCTCACTCAAGACATTCTGCTAGATAGCTAGGGTATAATCATGCAAAGTGACGAAATGATCATAATGTCCGCTAAGATTCACCAAAGCTGAAAGGGGTGGAAGCCTGGAAGGGATGGGTTTGAGAACAGAGATAGAGGCACAAAAAAACAAATGGATTATCAAAATGCTCATACAAGAGAGTGCACCATACCAAGACTTAGCTTCAGAACTGATCCGGCAAATCGGAATCGGCCCCTTGCAAGCTCCATGGAGCATGAGCAGGAGGGAGGCCTGGGTAATGGCTGACAAGCGGTGCCAGAGATTGCTGCCATTCATTGAAAGAACTAGGATGAACCAGAGAGGCAAGACAGGGACACTTAACCAGATCATTCACCTAGTGAACTAGGGAGAACCAGAGAGGCAAGACAGAGACACGTAACCAGATCCTACCAGGTAGCCAGATAATGGTTACTACCTGCTGATTCTGGGGGCTGATGATTATTGATTCCAAGCAGAGACACTTAACCAGATAAATCAGGAGTCCTCAGAATGAAGTAGCAGGTCCTTGGCAAAAGCTGTGTTGTGAAGCCTGAGATAATAAAGAGAGGCATGGACTTCAACAGAGGAGAACCAGTATTCTGCCGCTTGACTGGAAAAGAAACAGAGAAATTGCAGCACATTTAGGAGAAACAAAGTACGATGCAGATCGCGATAGGAACTTTGAAAGAATGAGATTTGTCCTCGGCAGGACAATTGAGAAACCAAGTTCAGAGGACTTACAAGTGTATCTTCCTGTAAACTCCGCGGATGCTACCCTCCTCGTCTAAGAGGACATGGGTATTACATAAGTGTGAAGGATCGGGTCCGGACTCCTGGAAGCCTCCAAGAGAAAGCCACAAGGAAAAGTCACTGCAGCATGCATTGTTCCCCCCTCCCCTCCAACCCCCCACCCTCTCTCTCTCTCTCTCTCTCTCTCTCTCTCTCTCTCCCCCTCCCTCTCTCTCTCTCTCTCTCTCTCTCTCTCTCTCCTGTCTCTTATACACATCTAGATGTGTATAAGAGACAGGTACAGCCCCCCCCCCCCCCCCCCCCCCCTCTCTCTCTCTCTCTCTCTCTCTCTCTCTCTCTCTCTCTCTCTCTCTCTCTCTCTCTCTCTCTCTCTCTCTCTCTCTCTCTCTCACACACACACACACACACACACACACACACACACACAAACACACACACACAAACACACGCCCATGAACACAGGTAGGTTCGAGTGAGGACAGAACTGATCAAGAAACATCTAGTTTGCAAATTGGAAATTTCAATATAATGCAACTCAAACACGAAAAAAAGAACCTGAAACATCCATCATCATCATCAGCAGCAGGAGGAGGAGGAGGAGACTGAATAGAACAATGAGAATGCACTTCAATACAGTGTAAGGGTATTGTCACCCAAATAGAGGAATGTTTCATACCCCTAGGACTCAAGTTCATTCAACATGAATTATATACAGTCAGGCATATTATGACTGAACGTGCCTGTCCATACCATCAAATGCATTCAATTATTCCAGTGTCAATTTGCCCTGAGGTCTACAATCATGGTTTCGTGTTTCCGGTTTTAGCTGTCATTGACATGTGCCTGCAAGTACACTCTGAATCATGCAAGATTGATCGCCGACAATGCCTGGGAAAACATAGGGTTTATCACCAACACTATCCGACGTACCGATCCTGTTCTCGACCTGTTTGCGCTACCTCTTTGACAAATCAGAGACTGGCATCAGGAGGCAAACATGGTGCAACAGCGCCATTAGGTCATCATGCAGCTCTTCCTCTACAGTCCTCATAGCAGCCTAGCTCATGTACCTTCCTGGGCTTGGCACCCGTCAGCTAGAGATAGCCCGTTGGTCCCCCCGATCGACATTGAGCAGAGATTGCTGATGTTCGTAGGGGGAGGGGACCGGAGGGGAGGTGCAGGGATTGGTCCAGTTGGCATGGTACCTGAAGCTACCAGCAGCTGACTCCTGGCCCGTATCGCCCACCTGCAGGTCGGGTGCAGCCCCCGCATGTTCCCTTATTGGAGGCTTGAACACGGATGCCGCTGTTACGGTGTTCCCCGTAGTACTATAATGATAATAAAAAGGCCTGAAAGGCCGTCCTGTCCAGATTTGTCAGGTAATTGAATTGGTTCAATTTGATTGGGCTTAAAATAATTAGCCTTAAACCACCACTACCTTTCACAGGCAAACGCAAAGTCCATCTAGTAGCCTACTCCTGAAAACACGGGGCTCGGGGCAGGGTTGGAGGCCGACGAAAAAAAAGAAAAAATAGAAGAAAAAAAAGAAGAAAAAAAAAGAAAGAAAACAAAGAGTCCCCACTCCAGGGATGTCGGGGAAAGCCCTCACGAGGGTGGAAGTTATACCAGTGCTTTGACGAATGTATCTGGCCACTATGTCGGACAAGGGATTGCAGTTCGTTTTTGTTTTTGTTTTGTATTGAATTCCTTGTAGTGCCCTGCCAGCTATGCAGGGCGTGTTTCACGGGTGGCACGTAACTGTCTCACTGCTGTAGCATCATGTATCCGCCCTCAATCACAGGATAAGGGATTCCTTTTTTTTTTTGTCGTTGCTTCTCTGTTTTCTTCCAGTGCACGCCCACACTGAGGGTACAGTCACACAAGCAACTCATGGAATGTATCTGGTGGTTGTCAAGGCGTTCGGGATGTCTCTTTTTTTTCTTTTTCTTTTTCTTTTTTTTTTTCCTTGTTCCTTCTTCGATGAAACTGCCCCGGCTCGGCCAAACTCGGTGCGCAGTGAAAATCAGGGTCGGCAAAAACAGGTTCGGAGGTAGTGGTCGTTTAAAAAAAAAAAAAAAAGCGGGTGGAGGTCTTTCAGTTGGTATCCGATGTGAAAATAAATTGCCTCAGACCAATGCCATAGTGACTGCAGATATGAATATACGTATGTATCATCAAACAGAGCTGCCCGGTAAACCGTAGGCAGAGAGGGAGAAGAGGACAAGGAACGAGGGCCTGTGACAAACAGTTTCAAGATAATGCCACCCATCTATCAACTAAAAGAGCGCACTTTGCAAAACAAATGAAAAAATAATAAATATAGCAGACAATATGAAGCACACTGCAGAGCTCGCAAACTCCTACTTTTCCTACAGCCACGCCCGGCCCATATTGGACATCCATAATATTTGGCAGCCGTAGCCAGCCAAAACTGCTGTTTAAAAATCCTCACAACCTGGCCCAGCCGCAGCTGCGCCCGATTTGAGCATACAAACCCGGGCCCACCCGCGCCCAGGCCTTGTTGAAGAGTTGCAACCAGACCTGCCCAGACCCAGACATTATTTTCACCACTTACCCCCACCCTGACCCTCAAACATAATCCCACCACCAGAGAGAGAGAGAGAGAGAGAGAGAGATGGTGGGAATGCAACAGCGGCGACCTCGGGGCTGTCAGGTGCCGCCTCTGAGCCGAGTACCGGTTCCCCCTTTGTGCTTCTCCTGTTTCATGGCAGCATAATC